ATTGAACTAGCTGTATAACTTACACTGCACTAGCTGTATAACTTACATTGAACTAGCTGTATAACTTACACTGCACTAGCTGTATAACTTACATTGAACTAGCTGTATAACTTACACTGTACTAGCTGTATAACTTACACTGCACTAGCTGTATAACTTACATTGAACTAGCTGTATAGCTTACATTGAACTAGCTGTATAGCTTACATTGAACTAGCTGTATAACTTACACTGCACTAGCTGTATAACTTACACTGCACTAGCTGTATAACTTACACTGTCTTGGACTAGTTGTATAGTATAACTTACACTGTCTTGGACTAGCTGTATAACTTACACTGCCTTGGACTAGCTGAATAACTTACACTGCCTTGGACTAGCGGTATAGTATAACTTACACTGCCTTGGACTAGCTGTATAACTTACACTGCCTTGGACTAGTTGTATAGTATAACTTACACTGTCTTGGACTAGTTGTATAACTTACACTGCCTTGGACTAGTTGTATAACTTACACTGCCTTGGACTAGCTGTATAACTTACACTGCCTTGGACTAGTTGTATAGTATAACTTACACTGTCTTGGACTAGTTGTATAACTTACACTGCCTTGGACTAGCTGTATAATTTATACTGCATTGGACTAGCTGTATAACTTACACTGCTTTGGACAAGCTGTATAACTTACACTGCTTTGGACTAGCTGTATAACTTACACTGTCTTGGACTAGTTGTATAACTTACACTGCCTTGGACTAGCTGTATAACTTACACTGCCTTTGGCTAGCGGTATAGCTTATGATAACCAGAAACATCAATCAGTTAAAGAAACATATTTTTCTTTGTCTGTATATTCAACTTAAATGAATTTGTGATACTCGTATCCTAGTGGTAACCAATTGTTTTAATTATTACCAGTCTCATTTAGAACCAATTTGTGTTAGGATTGATTTGGCTTGAGATTTATTTAAACTGGTATTCTTTTCGCTTGTTTAAAAAATCAAATATTGAACGAACTTAGCTACGAAGTACAAACGATATATATATTTATTTCCCAAGACTTATTTTACTCACTTTGGTCAGTTGGTCAGTGTAGTTTTCTCTAAAGTCTTGAAGCTCTGTATGGGTGTTTTCATCCGAGAATTCTAACGAGTAAACAAGACGAAATCCTCAATAGCCGCGGAACATGAAATTCTTTTAGAAAAGATTAGAGTAAATTAATCTATGAGACCTTGGGCGTGGTCAAATACATCAGTTGAAAGGGTCTGACATCCTAAGTCCGAAACTATAATTAGATCTCAAATCGGTCAAGAGATGGCGGAGCTATGAGCTAAAAAGTTTGTATTTGAAAAATACTCGGAGCCACTCTATCAGCCGTTATGCCGCGGCTAAAAAGTCAGTTTAGTGTGAATCTACTTTACAATCGATTGTTGACTCGACACAAACTGATTCGAATGAAACCCTTCATTTCATCGAATTTTCTACGGAACGCTAACACGAATGTCACTGTATATATATAAAGGTATTAGACTTTTAAAGAAAAATCACCTTTAAAAACTACGCTAGTAACTTATTTACTTGGCGACGTTTCGAGCAGACGATCTTTTTTCAAGCAAAAACAAGCCACTTTCGCATTTTTCTTCTTGTGTATATATTTATTTTAATGGAGCATGAAATGAACGCCTGATCTCGTTACACATCTGACAGAATTATACTTCAGATTTCTGAAGATAACACGTTACATAAACATTTGAGTCGGCATTATCAAACATACGTTAACGTATAACTATCAAAGGTATTCTTATTATACGAAAATATATTTTTTTAGTTATTTGGAAAGCATTATGATTCTCCCTGAAGCTTTGCTCAGTTAAGTTTATATAAATCTCGGAGAATCATCATGCACGGTCTGGCTTTGTTCTCCTTAAGCCTCGTAACATTGGAGTAGGTGTTTTAGAAGTAGGAAATGCATACTTTTTATGTTAGTCTAACAAGCGATTGGAAACACAAATAAAATCATTGATCAACCGAGAATTTCACTTGTTAAAGGCACTTCTTTCAGGGGGGGACTAATTGATCAACCGAGGATTTCACTTGTTACAGGCACTTCTTTCAGAGGGGGGAATAATTGATCAACCGAGGATTTCACTTGTTACAGGCACTTCTTTCAGGGGGGGGAATAATTGATCAACCGAGGATTTCACTTGTTACAAGCACTTCTTTCAGGAGGGGGGAATAATTGATCAACCGAGGATTTCACTTGTTACAGGCACTTCTTTCAAGGGGGGGGGGGATAATTGATCAACCGAGGATTTCACATTTCTTATGGGGAGGAGGAATTTACGAGTCAACGATTTTACACTTCTTTCACCTTACCAGATACCAGATCCCTTAGTCATGATCATAGATACAACAAAGATACCAGATCCCTTAGTCATTATCATAGATACAACAATGATACCAGATCCCTTAGTCATGATCATAGATACAACAAAGATACCAGATCCCTTAGTCATGATCATAGATACAACAAAGATACCAGATCCTTTAGTCATGATCATAGATACAACAAAGATACCAGATCCCTTAGTCGTGATCATAGATACAACAAAGATACCAGATCCCTTAGTCGTGATCATAGATACAACAAAGATACCAGATCCCTTAGTCATGATCATAGATACAACAAAGATACCAGATCCCTTAGTCATGATCATAGATACAACAAAGATACCTGATCATTTAGTCATGATCATAGATACAACAAAGATACTAGATCCCTTAGTCATTATCATAGATACAACAAAGATACCAGATCCTTTAGTCGTGATCATAGATACAACAAAGATACCAGATCCCTTAGTCATGATCATAGATGCAACAAAGATACCTGATCATTTAGTCATGATCATAGATACAACAAAGATACCAGATCCCTTAGTCATTATCATAGATACAACAAAGATACCAGATCCTTTAGTCGTGATCATAGATACGCTTAGAATTATTCAAATCTGGATAGAAGCATTTATAGTTTTTCATATGGACATTCACATAAATGACCCATTTGAGATCTTGCCTACAAGAAGACCTTCGATCTCATATTTTCTGTTGAACTCTTGGGCTCTCCTTTAGTCATGATCATATATACAACAAAGATACCAGATCCATTAAATAAATTTTTGTAAATATTTTAACCCAAGAAATAAGCATTAAATGTTATTCAACCAAGTATCTTGAAGATACCAAGAAGACATGGTAGCCCAAGAGTTCAACAGAAAATATTAGATCGAAGGTCTTCTTGTAGGCAAGATCTCAAATGAATGTCTATATCAAAAACTATAAATGCTTCTATCCAGATTTGAACAATTCTAAGCGTATCTGCTGGACTACCAGTGTATGTTAGATATTCGGTTTCTTGGCGACAAATGTAGAACGTCTGTTTGATCAGTCAGGGGCCATATTGTTCTTCAGAAAAAACACCACAAAATAACATTTGATATACACGTGTTGTGGTGACTAGTAGTCATCCAGTTTCGAAGCGTTTGTATGTTGAGATCCAACGTTTGAACATCGGAGAGTGCGCTATTACTCTCTATGTAGGGGTGGCACGGACGCCACTATTCAAGCAATACAACTGTTATCCGGATTTTCTTCTCTACAGATCATCAGAAAACAGATATGAAGAGCTACCTAACATAGTCGTTCTATATCCGCTGTATATGGCGCTTTTCAGCTATCCAGAGCGACCCAAGGTCGAAAACCGGCGAATAGTTAAAACCAAGATTTCTTATTTTTGTTCAATAGGCCTAGCGTCTGCCTAGTTCTAGCACTAACTATAACTTTATCATCATTTGATAGAGCAAAACAATCTTCACGATCTATGAATAACAATTTTATTATTATTCTGCAAACCTATAAAGCTTTAAAATACACTTTGTATCCTAATAACCCACGTATGCCATCTTATAAAAAAGTAACAAACAGAAATTATCGCTAAATGAAAAAGTTATGTAGGGGTGACTACTGATCTTGAAAAAAAGAACCAAACAAAATAGGGATGGAAGTGGACATATCACTTGATGATTACATAGTAGACTAAGCTGTCTCGACTTTAGATGGATAATAAAATCCTTACATTACTGGCTTCCTCACTGGCAAAACCAATAGAATCAGACCCTCCAATCGTAAAATGTTGCTCTATTGTGAAATAGTCATGAAAGTAATATTCTAAAGTTAACTAAAAGAAAGGTGTAATTATGAAAGCTGAGATTCTATTCACACACCAAGCTTTCGATAGATAAAGTGGGGAAGCCAGTAATGTAGGGATTTTATTCTCCATGTAAAGTTAAGACGGCTCAGTTTGCTATGTGATCATTAGCTGGATCAAGTGGTACGTCCAGCTTCTAGTCCTGTCTTGTGGTTCCTTTGGTCAATTTCAGTAGCCAGCCCTACATTTTTGATTTAACAATTTTTTAAATAATACTTGTTAATTCACACCATACAAGTTGGTTACCTAATGTCATCATAGAATGAGAGGTTATCCCACTCGTCAACTTTTCTGAGTTGATGATGAGAGCCTACATACTACATTTTTCAGTTGGATGCCATGTTTGCTACCTAAGATGGCCGATAAATGTCGAAAATGCAGCTTTCAGCTGGACACCATGTTTGCCTACCTAAGATGGCCGATAAATGTCGAAAATGCAGCTTTCAGCTGGATGCCATGTTTGCTACCTAAGATGGC